CACCCGCAGGCAGATGTCGGTCAGTACGGTGATTTCCTCCCACACCTCCGGGTCCGGCTTCGTATTCATGTCCTCACAGAGCTCGGCTTGGTACGCTGAGAGCATGGAGGAGACATTCAAAGCTCGGACCGAGATGGCGGCAGCCTTGTACGCCCTCTCGTTCAGCGCCGACTGGAAGCGGTCCGCCTTTGCAGGGAGAGCGGGAGGCCTGGAGGAAGTTGCCGAGAGTCGTGGGTGCAGGTGGGCTGCAACCAGCGGTTCCATCGGCGGCATGCGAAGCATGCCAGCCCTCTCCATCCCCTCGAAGTCCAGCGAGGAGGCTCCTTGGACCGGAGACCTTGAGCTGAAAGGGTGTTTGTCCCAGGAGGACCTCACTTCTTGGAGAAGCTCCGGGAAGGCGGGAAGGAGGGGCTTTGCCGCCCTTGTGGCCTGAGGCAGCTTCTTACCCTCGTAGCGGGACCTGACAGCCTCAGTGACCACGGTGGGCCAAGGGATGTTGAGCCTGGTCGCAGCGCGTCGGCAGACTGACTGCATGTCCAGGTGGGCGGCCGGAGAAGCCGCTCCATCCCTGGGAGAGGACGGAAAGCTAGGCATGGAGGCCTGAGCGACGGGGAGAAAGACGTCGTCATCCTCGTCCTCCTCTGAAATGAGGAGTTCCGAGGTGTCCTCGTCGTCTCCGTAGTCCAACTCCAACACGTCCTCGACGGGGTGGCTCGGACCGGCCAGTTCGAGCTGTGAGCCCCAGCTGAGTTCGGCACACGGTTCCGGCTCCGGGAGGGCATGTTCGCTGGCGTCCCCAGGCGGTGGCCCAGGGGCCGGCAGGCAAGGATCCTTCCCCGACAGGCTAGCTTGGCGCGCTAGCCGCCGGCGAAGGCTCTTCAGGGTGAAGCAGGCACAGTTCTCACATGACCCGGGGACTTCCAATGCCAGCTGGGCGTGTTCCAGCCCGAGGCAGCTCGAGCAGACCTTGTGCGGGTCTTTGCTTGAGATTTTGTTCCCACAGGTACAGAGGCGAGCTCCTGAGCCATCGACTCCTCTGGTGGGAGGAGCGGCTTCCATGTTGGCTAACTGGTGTGTTAGCAGAGAGCGAACAGGTGCACTGGAGTGTGAAGCTGCTCGTTATGCCCCGAACCTATGGTGAAGGTCAGGACAGAAGGACGGTAAGTTAACGTTCGGCGACGGAGAGAATATTAGAAGGCTCCGTCTGTGAACAGTTGAGCTAACTTACCTCAGAGATAAGCGACCACCGAAGCGAGAAGAGGTGATTGAATAGTGCGTGCGTTGGGACGCTTGCTACTTATAGTAGCATGGGGACGCGTACGTCACGGTCACTGGCCAATCAGGATTGGCGTATTGAGATAAGTGCTTCTGAGGAATCCGCGGAGGGGTGTATCCCATAGTGAGACATCGAAACGAATGTTAAGAAAGAGAACAATCTCTGTCTCTGCCAGCTGCAGTAAATGTAGTTTCCAAATAATAAATAAGAGGTGCATTCATCTGTGTATCTCCTTTGACCCGCATTAGTGATATTCTCAGCACCAGAACAGTGAAGCAAAGAAAGACTCCTGAGTTTGTTAGTGATTTTATTTATTAGGTGCATCTAACCTGTTCTACTTTTCTCTGAAATGAGATCAAATCAGTGCTTCTATCGGTTGTCTCCAATCTGCACTAGAAAATTTTACTTTATTTAGAGACGTGTCATAATTTAATATATTGGCCCAATATATCAGTTGGCCTCTAATGCAGAGGAAACCTTTTCTCCGCCCACAGCACCAACAGAGCTGCTTGAGGTTTGCTAAAGCACATTTGGACAAGCCTGCTTCATTAATAAGGTGCTGTGGACTGATGAAACTAAAGATGAGTTATTTGGGCAAAACAAGAGGAGTTATGCATGGAGGAAAAAGAACACAGCATTCCAAGAAAAACACCTGCTACCTACAGTAAAACATGGTGGTGGTCCCATCATGCTAAAGGGTTAGGGTGGAGGGACGCATGGATTCCACTCAGTATCAGCAGATTCTGGAGACCAATGTTCAGGAATCAGTGACAAAGCTGAAGCTGCTCCGGGGCTGGAGCTTTCTACAAGACAACGACCCGAAACACTGCTCAACATCTACTAAGGCGTTCATGCAGAAGAACAAGTAGAACGTTCTGGAATATTCATCTCAGTCCTCAGACCTGGATGTTACAGAACATCTGTGGTGTGGTCTGTCCATGCTCAGAGGCCATCAGACCTGAATGAACTAGAGATGAAAGAATGGTTCAAAATACCTTCTACCAGACTCTCATTGGAAGCTACAGGAAGTGTTTAGAGGCTGTTATTTCTGCTAAAGGAGGATCTACTAAATATTGAGTTCATTTCTTGTAGCGGGGCCCAAATTTATGCACCTGCTTGATTTAGTTTAAACAATTATTGCACACTTTCTATAAATCCTATAAACTTCATTTCACTTCTCATATATCACTGTGTTTGTCTCCTATTTGATATATTTAACAGAATTTTTTATCATAACAACCAACGATTTAAACAGGAAAATCATTAAGATTAACAAGGCTGCCCAAACCTTCACATCCCGCTGTAGATGAAGCTAAAACTTTGCCAACAGGAAGTATTTACAACATAATCTAATGAAACCTAACCAGCTAATCTTTTTTTAATCATAAAATTTCTAGGAAGCCAAATATAGTTCATCACATAAAACTCTGGGCCCGTCTGTGCATCGGCAGAACAAGAATGAGCTCATTCCACAAGTCAGCCTGTTAGCTAATCACCAGCTCCCTGTCCTCATAAGCTCCCATTAACTCGGAACAACAAGGCTATCCACCCAAGGTTTTCTCACGTCCAGCTAATACCCTCACAGAGCCGGATTAGATTACACACTGCATTCCAGCGTTTCATCACATTCTCCAGAACCATTGTAAATAAAAGCAGCTACAGCCATTTAAAAAGTCATTAACTTGTGGTTCCTGATGAGCAAAAGAAGAAGAGCTCTCTGTTCTCCATTTAAATTAACTGCCAAAGCTTAACCCAAAAGGCGAGCCAGTAGTACTAGAAGCACACACTTCAGCCCAGGAGATAAACCCAACTGAATATTTAGTTGGGGTGGTGTCTAAAGCCGGGCGGACACTGTCCGACTTTTTCACTCGTAGCACTCAGCTTCAGCTCAGACTGTACGACTTCCTCGCAGGGCAGATGTCACGAGTCATGCGCTCACACTGTACGACCCAGTTCTCGGATGCGACCTGACTGCTCACACTTTACGTCTGGTAGCAACACGTCGGACCCAAAAATATGCTAAAAATAGCAGATTTTAAACAACACGTCAGACTTTTTTTGTCTTGTTTTGCCTGTTGTCCTTCGGGAGTGCTGCAGGAGGACACACAGGGATTTATGGGGGTTGGATGAGGAAAACGAAATAAAGAAAGTAAATTTGTGTTTTGTGATCAGTTTAATTTGACATGAACACGACAAGCACGCTTTCTTGGCAATCTTTGTGAGTAAAAAAACGTGTAGAAATAAAAATGAACAACGTGTGTTATTAGGGAAATAGCGGGCGAGCGGTGTTGATGCATGATTGCGCATGCGCCGTGAGCGGTTCTGATACTTTTTGGGTCGCAGCTGCTCGCAGCGCCGCTTCAACAGTGCGATACCCTCACGAGGGACGAGCGAAATATTAAACACGCAAGAAGTCCGTGCGAGCTCACGATTGCTGATCGGGAGCTGATCACGTGGTGTTAATCGCCTCTCGTAACCCCCCGTACACGACGCTCAGCGCAAAACTCGCCCCGATCTCGTGGATTCTCGCACGAGTGGAAAATCGGCTCAAAAAAGTGAAAAAGTTGCACAGTGTACGCCCGGCTTAAGGGGGAAAAAAGGGCAGATGGAGACGTTGGGAACACCAATGGGGAGAGAGTAGAGCGTCCTCACATGCAAAATCTTACCTCTTGCCTTTTACTCAACATTTAGCATCACTGACTCGAGGCCAGCTAGCCGCCCTAAAAGTGTAATTATGTACTCTGGACACAAGCCAGTGAAACTACCCAGTTGTGGGGTGGAATGTATCGTCATTCTGCTTTCACGTTTCTGCCCTGGTTCCTCGGTTTGCCTGGATGTTTGAAGTGGTAGTAGCCGTCTGTTTCTCCTTCTCCGATATTATTGAGTGGAGAACCTCTCACACCTAAGGTGTTGTGTTGCTCAGGATGTGAGCGTGTACTGAGTGGAGGACCCAGGGAAGTGCGTCAATTCCATGAAAACGACAATCAAATGGTCAAATAGTGACCTTCGGTTCGAGCAGTGTTATTGGCGGAGGTTTTTAGACAAAAGCGAGAGAACCACTTAATTTTTTTATTAACCTCCACAATTTACTTCGAGCTATACTATGTTAGAACCTTAAGAGGCAAAAAAAATTTTTTTTATTCTTATTTGTTTTAACAACAGATTTTTTTTACTCAACTGAAAGAACAACCACCACATTTTTACATCATTTTAATTCTTTCAACTGATATATTTAATTATTTGGATCTGAAAACTAAAAGAAAAAAGATTTTTCCTGCAATAAAACAATAAAGTTAACTCAGTTTATTCGAACAATTTAATTTTGTTTCCTGTGCTGTCAATCGGGGTACTAGGGAGTAAAAAAAAAAGTTTATTCTCCCAACGTATTCTCATCAGTCGTGTAAATAACATGGTAAACTCACTTAAGTGAATCTGCATCGTGTTTATGTCTGAACAACAAAGACGGATCAGCCAGCCATGCGACACGACTGTGTTTGTTCTTATTTAGAGCAGGTAACTGATGACTTAAGGTAAACATCCTTCCTTAAAGCTGTGCACTTGTAATCTAATCACTCAGGATGTGTGTTAATCCCAGGTCTGACCTGAGTCAGATCTGGCTAAAGAAGCCGACGGGGTGTGTGTTCGTACTTCTGATGTTTTAACTCATTTGCCAAGAGTTCAAAACTGAACTAGTTAAATTGCAACGTTACAACAACGCTCTTACCTGAACGGTTTTCTTGATCCGGTTAGATGGACTGGGATACTCAGGGGAGTACAAGTCTGTGAGGAAGAGCGAGTTGATTAACGTCGATTTCCCCAGACCAGATTCCCCTAAAAGACAGAAGACAGAGGCAGAGTCATCACACACCAACTGCCAATCACTCAGGAACATAAGAAAACAATTACCAGGTTACAGATTTACATAGGAGCTGGCTGATTTTTGTTTTATAGGCTGAAAAAAGAGAAACGGGGCAGAAGATTTGTTCTTCCAAACTAATTTCCTGTCAGCATTTCAGAAATCTAATCAGAGAATCACAGGAAGGAAGGAGAGGGAATCAGGAATTCTTCACTCTAACAGGAAAGAAAAATAAATCAGAATCTATGTGATGTTGGTTCAAGAATTTAAGAGTCAGAAGTCAGATTCATAGCTCTGACTTGGGATCCATCTTATCTGGGCTAGAATTCACAGAGAAAAATATTCTCCTGGGTAACAGCACAAAACTGGGTAATATCCTTAGAAATAACCTTAACAGTTGTGTCTTTTTGTGTATTTAAACATGTGTGCCATGTTCAGTATATACACCATGAAATCAGTGTCTCATCGCTTAGGTGTTAAAGGAATTCACCATATGTCATTTCCAATTCTAAATCTCTGAACTGCAATTAATATGTTAAACATAGAACACAAACAGTAAAAATAAAATTACAACTGCTCCTTCTCAAACAAAAAGTAGCATTCACCTGTTTGTGAATGTAAAGAAACTTGAAGACAGTTGACGATGGAGGAAACAGAGGTCATATGCAGAGGCGACATTGGGCACTGGAAAATGTAACTGCTTCACCGCCATATTGGATGGGTCCCATACACTCCAAATTTCAGTTGGAGTCAACACTGTTTAGTAAAGTAATATGTTCTGTGTCACATAAGCAGATGAGAAAAGTGGGTACTTTTATAAAATGCATGTTTCTGTCACAGATGAGCATGAAGTGGCATGGCTCTGGAGTTGGACTGCCCTAAAACAAGCGTGGTACTGAGATTTACGTTTTTTTAAATTAGCATTTGAACTAGGGACGCATCGATACTACATATTTACAGAGTATGAGTAAATGCAATTTACAGGTCCTTCTCAAAAATTAGCATATTGTGATAAAGTTCATTAATGTCTGTAATGTACTGATAAACATTAGACTTTCATATATATTAGATTCATTACACACAACTGAAGTAGTTCAAGCCTTTTATTGTTTCTAATATTGATGATTGTGGCGTACAGCTCATGAAAACCCAAAATTCCCATCTCAAATAATTAGCATATTTCATCTGACCGATAAAAGAAAAGTGTTTTTAATACAAAAAAAGTCAACCTTCAAATAATTATGTTCAGTTATGCACTCAGTACTTAGTCGGGAATCCTTTTGCAGAAATGACTGCTTCAATGCGGCGTGGCACTTGAGGCAATCAGCCTGTGGCACTGCTGAGGTGTTATGGAGGCGCAGGATGCTTCGATAGAGGCCTTAAGCTCATCCAGAGTGTTGGGTCTTGCGTCTCTCAACTTTCTCTTCACAATATCCCACAGATTATCTACGGGGTTCAGGTCAGGAGAGTTGGCAGGCCAATTGGGCACAGTAATACCATGGTCAGTAAACCATTTACCAGTGGTTTTGGCACTGTGAGCAGGTGCCAGGTTGTGCTGAAAAATGAAATCATCTCCATAAAGCTTTCCAGCAGATGGAAGCATGAAGTGCTCCAAAATCTCCTGACAGCTAGCTGCATTGACCCTGCCCTTGATGAAACACGGTGGACCAACACCAGCAGCTGACATGGCACCCCAGACCATCACTGACTGTGGGTACTTGACACTGGACTTCAGGCATTTTGGTATTTCCCTCTGCCCAGTCTTCCTCCAGACTCTGGCACCTTGATTTCCGAATGACATGCATAACTTGCTTTCATCTGAAAAAAGTACTTTGGACCACTGAGCAACAGTCCAGTGCTGCTTCTCTGTAGCCCAGGTCAGGTGCTTCTGCCGCCGTTTCTGGTTCAAAAGTGGCTTGACCTTGGGAATGCGGCACCTGTAGCCCATTTCCTGCACACGCCTGTACACGCTGGCTCTGGATGTTTCTACTCCAGACTCAGTCCACACTGCTTCCGCAGGTCCCCCAAGGTCTGGAATCGGACCTTCTCCACAATCTTCCTCAGGGTCCGGTCACCTCTTCTCGTTGTGCAGCGTTTTCTGCCACACTTTTTCCTTCCCACAGACTTCCCACTGAGGTGCCTTGATACAGCACTCAGGGAACAGCCTCTTCGTTCAGAAATTTCTTTCTGTGTCTTAACCTCTTGCTTGAGGGTGTCAATGATGGCCTTCTGGACAGCAGTCAGGTCGATAGTCTTACCCATGATTGCGGTTTTGAATAATGGGGCAACGGTGGCACAGGAGTTAAGTGCTCGCCCCGCAATCGGAAGGTTGCAGGTTCGAGCCCCGCTCAGTCTGTCGCTGTCGTTGTGTCCTTGGGCAAGACACTTAACCCACGTTGCCTGCTGGTGGTGGTCGGAGGGACCGGTGGCGCCAGTGCTCGGCAGCCTCGCCTCTGTCAGTGCGCCCCAGGGCAGCTGTGGCTACATTGCAGCTCATCCCCACCAGTGTGTGAATGTGTGTGTGAATGGGTGAATGACTGTGTTGTAAAGCGCCTTGGGGGGTTCCAGGACTCTAGAAGGCGCTATATCAAATACAGGCCATTTACCATTTTTACCATTTAATGAACCAGGCTGGTAGTTTTAAAAAGCCTCAGGAATCTTTTGCAGGTGTTTAGAGTTAATTCGTTGATTCAGATGGTTAGGTTAATAGCTCGTTTAGAGAACCTTTTTATGATATGCAAATTATTGGAGATAGGAATTTTGGGTTTTCATGAGCTGTATGCTAACATCATCAGTATTAGAAACAATAAAAGGCTTGAACTACTTCAGTTGTGTGTAATGAATCTAATATATATGAAAGTCTAATGTTTATCAGTACATTACAGACTAGGGGTTGTACGAACTAGTCGACTAGTCGACTTCACGGCTCTGTAGTGACTTTTTATGCCTGTCATCAACTAGTCGCTGTCACGTGATAATGACTGACAAGATGCAGTCCTCGGAAAAGACAGCAGGTGATGAGCCCCTGCGCGTCTGGATCGAGGCGGAGGCGACGCGCTGTGCGGTACTGACACCTGCGGTAAAACGGACATTTAACCAAACTGTGACCTTTTCCCTCTTGCAATTTAACCTTCCCCTCACCCCCATCCTAATCTTAACCAGTTTGCGCATGCAAAGCTCTGATCGTTGACGTGCGCTCCAGACATTGCGTCCTGAGCACCGCCAAATCAGGTGTCACCACCTCAAAAACAAATTAAACACGCGATCGTTCATGTCGGCTCATTTCCTTTCATGTTTTCTGTCTGTTATTTGTGCCTGATGCGCTTTGTTGCTGCGGAGCGAGGCGCATCAGCTGTTGTCCTCCGGTGACGCACCCCCAAGATTCCACTATCTCCACTCCGCTCCGGCACGAACTCCGCAGCAAAAACGGTCCCGTTGTAGTCGGCCGGCGAGCAGCGGCACTCCGCTGTTTTTGCGGTCGGTAGATCTTTTAGAACTGCAGTTCAAAGGTAACTCAAAAGGTGAATATGTATGAACCCAGGTAGCAGTTTTTCTTTAGGATTGAGAGGAGATGCAGGAAGATAATAAACAGGCAGGACAGAAAAATAGTCAAATAAAAACAAGTTAGTTTTTGTACCTGCTGGTTGCAACAAACAGACACCATTGAAGGTCATCAGAAGTGAGGAACAGAAAATGAAATAATTATTTTAATGTTTAGAGCAGCAGGAAAGGCTGCAGGCGTTAACTTGTGTTAACTTAGAAAATGTGGGCGCAATTTAAATTGTCAAAAACTCCAGCGAACCTACCTACCGACCGACCCCCACCCCCACCCCCCACCCCCCCCACCGCCGCCACCGCTTCCGGCGTATGACGTCATCAACGACTAGTCGAAGTCGACTCGACTTTCATTACTTGACTGTCGACTTTAAAAACAATAAAGTCGTGCAGGCCCTATTACAGACATTATTGAACTTTATCACAATTTGCTAATTTTTTTAGAAGGACCTGTACTTGTTGCAAATAATTAGAAATTGTTTTTCATTAGAAATTTTTCTGGAAAAAATGATCTTTTTTAGTAAATCATGCTTTTATAAAAATACCTTTTTCTAGAGCTAACATAACCTCAGAAGAATATCTTACAAAATATAGCAGCACAAGTGTGACAGGTTCAGGGCCCCCACATAAAAGGTCATCTGCCTGTTTACCAATTCATTTTAAATCGGGCTATGACCCTGTCCATGTGGCATCACGCTACTCATGGGAATGCTCCCTTCACCATGGTGGACGTGAAATGAACTGTTTAGGTTTGTTACAAGTCCAAAACAAACTAAACTAAAACTTTATATAATCAGATTTGGTTGAATGAACAATTTGTTTAAATCCAAAATGTTTGATTAATGTGTTCTATACTTGACATTAATGAGCGATGGGTTATAGTGAATATTTTTCCTGTAATGATTTATTTCAGATCTTAAATTACACCAGATTAGTATTTGCTGAATTTAATGTTAATCTATCAGTGTGAACACAGTAACGTCACCATATCATCATTCATGGTTAAAATATTTCTGCTTCAAATAATCTGTTTAACATTTTTACTTCACACTAAGAAATAACCTCTCTAAGAAGTATCAGAGGGAGGGAGGGATCTTCTGAGGTATTTGGCAATGCCTTTTAAAACTTGTCAAACTCTGATTCATCTAAATTTGTCAACAATAGTTAATAAAAGGTTAGATCACTTCATGATCTAGTCAGTTCTCCGCTTCCTCCTGGTTCGGCCGACCGACTCAAACTCAAAGCCTCTCTGCAACGCTTGCGAGTGTATCAGATGCAAAATAGATAAGCCAGGTTCCTGTCGTCACCTGGCAGGTACCTCAGAGCAGATGGGTCGTACTCAGAGCTGAACTACGAGCTCTTTTACCCAGAGGTCCACTCCACCGGCAGTGTCCATATAGACCTCTTGACACCCTGGATCGCGTGAGGGTCTCCAACGCAAAGGGTTTGTAGATCCTTAAACTGGAGTAGGATGGTTTTCTGAATAATCTCTAGCTTATTAAACCATACAGACTAACTGATTTGACAACCCAGACATCACAAGATCTTTCAGATATTTAATAAGGTTTTGCAACGGGGTGAATTCTGGTAAAGTCGGCAACTTGATCAGACAAGTGAACACAGCAGCAGGGAGATACCGTTTGTGAGCTAGCTAACATTAAAGTGGCAGTGTGTAGTTTCCTGCCGCTAGGGGGAAGTACATAAATACATTTCAGGGTAGTTGTACACCATACCTTCCTGACTGTCCCTAATTAAAAAAAACATTACACATAAATGTTACCTGTTGAGCAGAAAGCATGCAAACTCAACATGACTCCTCAGACTTTGATGGTCCTTCAGTTAATTCCATGAAAGAATGCAATGCCGATTGTAGTTTTCTGCTGCTGTAATTTCCGGACCTTCTCGGGGTCCTGCAACTGCCGATGACGTCATCATACTACGGCAATACCACTCAGCCAAAATACATTGCATCTCTTTTCAATTCTGTTCTTTCACATATGATTTGGAAAGAGTTTAGTAGTTTTGTTATTAAACTAGTGTTTCTTACTGCCTAAATGATTTTGAACATGGTAACGTAACTTCCGAAAGTCGTACGTCCAGCACAGGACCCTGAGCTGGCCAGAAGGAAACATGTGCCCCCCCCCCCCCCCCCCCCCCCCTGTACTTTAGACCCACTTCTTATGGTTATATGGTACAAAGCCACCAATATTTCAACAATTGGACATCATTTAACTTATTTTCAACAATGTTTCGATGGACAGTTCCAGAGATTAAAGGTCAATACAGCTTTCTATGTGTCCCACCAAGGTTTTCTAAATCTTCCAACTAGTAAACTGGACGTTAACTAGGAGAAGCTAAGTTAAACTGGCAAAAAAAATTTTTTTTTAAATAAATCAAACATCTCAGTCACCACTTTTGTCGTCTGTTCAACACTTACGTAACCCATGTGATCAGTATTGGGTTGTGTAGACCAAGTACAAGTTCCAAGGAACACGCGCTGTATCAGGCCGATACCGATGCTGGTATTGGTGCATACTAAGTTTAAACCATCATAACATTCTCAATAAAGTCATAAAACAGTAAGTCCCCTTTAAAGCATGAATGTGGTAAACCACCCTCAGCACTGTACTTGGGGTAAGCTTAGAGCAACAAGTAGCTGTTGAACAAAAGCTGCACTGTGAGTGCAGAGGCTAGAAATGGAGCCAAACACCTTTACAAGTGGCCACAGCGATGGCCAACACGAACCACAGCTGCCAGCAGCTCAGTCCTCTCATCACTTAATGAACAGAAAGGGTCCCAACAAAACAAAAACATGTTTCACTCACCCTATTTATGACACTTAGTCATAAATATTTTCCCAACAGGGCTGAGCCATATTGACCACTATTGTTACAAAAGAAAAGGATTAAAAATGTAACGTGATGAAGGAACCATTTCTCCCCTCTAACAGCTGTCCTTGTGACACAGTGCCAGTGTGCATGAACAGCCAAGGTCATGCATTCACTTCTAATGTTTACATTCCAGCAGAGAAGACAGAAGAAAGAAGAACGCTTTTCTTTTAATTAATCAAATAACTCTATTTTAATAAAGCTAATCAAAACAACTGTTAGTCAATAATAACCATGTGACCAATCTGTGAAATCACAATGTTATGATTAATGAATTATGTTATGTGTAATGAGTAACATGACTTTGGTCTAACTGCACTAGACATCCTGATTCACGTAATGTCAACGCATGACACATTGTTTACTCATCCAATCAGAACCTTCATTCTGAAGCGTGGCAGAGTCTCTGTGGTGTTTATTTAACCTGTCCACTGCGATTCGTCCAGAATCGTAAACAACCAAGATTAATAAAACAGAACAACGCCATTTTGAGTTCGTATTCAGCCAGCTCTCAAGATCATCTGATGTCCATCACTGCTAAGTGAAGTACAGACTGGCCATCTGTACGTTTTACTTTTAAGCTGAGAACTGTCAAGCTGGAAAATCCTGTCGTTGTTACCAACAAAACAACGGTTCCTTCAGAATAAAAGCTGAACTCGCTGACCCAAAGGGAGGTCCCTTAGACGCTGTGAACCACCTGCCGTTTTTACCTGGAGACTATCCATAGACTGGTTTGTCGTGCTGTCGACGCTGTTTCATCGTTCCAGCACCAGAGGAGGGTCCGAGGACCTGGCAGCCTGATCTAACACGGGAGTCCCTGACGGGTAATGTAGAAGGGCACAGATAGCGTCTCATGTCTTTCCTGACTAAAGTTCAAACGTCGATCAGTTAGGAGCAAAACAACATCTCCCACTCAGACTCGCTTCTCCAGACAGAGGTTCTGAACTGACATCGACCCCACACACTCCACCTCATTACATTCCATTCGCATCCATCACTAGAGTTAGTCCTGTTAATTGTTTAAAATAATTTAGATAATAAATTTTTCTTTAACGTTCCGAGGTCTCTCTCTCTTCTCTTGTCTCGCAGTTCATGCAAAGCATTTAATTTTAAATTTCCCTGTAATAAAAAGAACACTCTTCTGATTTAAGAAAGTCCAGTGTCCAGAGATGGGACCCATGCCAGGTATGGATCATTAATATCTCTGGTCATTAATTAAATTGTAATACCCTTCATTTCCATTACAAAAATATTAGCTGGCTGGTCATCAAAAGCAATTATAGTTAAAGACCTTCTAAAGCACAGTGACACAGTGGTTAGCTAGGAGTTTGCAAGTTCTCCCTGTGCATGCGTGGGTTCTCTCCGGGCACTGCGGCTTCCTCCCACAGCCATGACTGTCAGGTTACTTGGTCTCTCAAAATTGTCCTTAGGTGTGAGTGTGTGTGTGTGTGTGTGTGTGTGCTTGATTGTTTGTCCTGTGTGTCTCTGTGTTGCCCTGCGTTGGAACCTGTCCAGCTTGGACCCCGCCTGCATGCCTGGAGACAGCTGGAGATAGGCATTAGCCCCCCGCAACCCTACGAGGATAAGCGGTTAAAGAAAATGGATGGATGGACCTTCTAAAGTCCTGAAAGAACAGGAGATCTTTGAGTTAACTAAACACCAGTTAGATGTCAGGATGCTCTGATGGTAACTCTCCTGAACTCCATTGTTGACATATTCTGTCTGGTTTTATAGCATTATGTTTATGTTTATTTATTTGGCAGACACTTTTATCCAAAGCGAATTACAATTTATATCCTATAGGGCATGTTGTGATCTGTGGGGGGAACCGGAGTACCCGGAGGAAACCCACGCATGCATGGGGAGAACACGCAACTCCACGCAGAAAGGCCGCAGCCGAGTTTCAAACCTGCAACCTTCGTGCTGCGAGGCAACAGTGCTAACCACTGTGCCACCATGCAGCCTCCAACTCTTCACTGGAACAAAGGAAGAAACACTCCCATCATGATCTGGAGGCGGGATCAGGGCGAATAATGACCAGTGATACTGTATAGAAAATCTCTGAGTTAGTTTCACTTTTGTTCTGATCTGAAGATCCTCTACTTTAACATCATTATGTAATATGAGCAGGAAGAACGAGCTGATTGGTTCTCAGCGTGTTTGGCCCTCACACATCCTTAGAGACACTTTGGTCCAACTGGCCAGATCTTCCCTCTCCGTCTGCACTCCACTGTAACAGTGTTTGTGGATATCAAATCAAATCAAATCAACTTTAGTTATAAAGCGCTTTCACATGGCCAAAATGGACAAACAACGCGCTGTACAACCAATAAAAAGCACCACAATTGGACAGACATATAACCATTTAAAATACAATAAGAAATCCTGAGTGCAAGTTCACAATCCATATCCGGCCTACTTCCCCCAACATCAATGTCCAAACGCCGTAATGTAAAGTTTTTAACAAACAATTTAGACATTTAGATATTCAAACTGCAATATTTTAAATCAATCAATAGAACACAGAATAAAAAAACACTAATTCCTGATTATGTAGCCTATCACTTCTTATTGGTCAAATAAAATATTTTAATCACAGCACATTTAATAACTGGAGGGTTTTTTGTTTTGTAGAAAATCATGTGATCCATAATTCATGCATGTATGGTGTCTTTTAACCCATTTATGGTCTTCAAAGCTTTTTATTTAATCACAGCACATCTGGGATTCAGTGTCTAACACAAGGGAAGCCAACCCCATATCCTCTAGTTGGAGGACTACCATCGTACTAGTGGGCTAAAGCCATTTCTTTATTCTGAGCAAAGATTTGTGTACTGAGGAAACAAATATCAGTCTGTTACTTTCAATCCAAAGGAGGCTCAAAAGGTCTGGGAAGGAAGGAAATGCTGGACCCTTCATTGAGGTCTGTGACAAAAAGCAAGTGACTGGACCACAGTGAACAACAGAGCCCCACTCCACAGCATCTTGGCTGGCTAGAAGAGCAGCTGTGGCAACAGCAGGCGCTAACACTCACCGTGCTCCAGAAAAGAGCAACTGCTTGGTTTGCAGGACCATCAGATTTATACCCTCTGATACCGCATTTAAACTGTTTCCTCTGCTTTTACCATTTTATTAGTTATCTTTATCTGTGGGTTACTACAGGATATTTCAAATTCCCCTTAAACATTTCTTGTATAAAAGTATGTATTTATGTACAAACACTCACCTGACTCGTACAGCTTAACGGTGAAGGTTCTGTGTCACGCTACACTAAACCAGAGCTATTGTTTCCTATATAACAAGAAGCCCACCTCTAGTGAGCATCCGACTATAAAACATGACTCCATAAGTGGGTCTGATCCTGGTTTCCAGTCCTGCTTCCTCTTCTCTGGTTCATGTTTGTTAGAGACAAAGTGTCGGGATGAGAGGTGAAACAGCACAGATGCTACTCACCTACCACCATGAGTGTGAACTCAAAGCCTCTCTTCACAGATTTTCTGTAAACCTGGTTGGGGAGATTAGCAAAGCCCACGTAGCCCTCCAGGTTCTTCTGTTGCTGAAGACCAGATAAAAACAGGCGTAAAAACACTTCAGTCGCGTTGGTAAATGTAACCATTTCAGTTTCCAACCTTCAGAATGACTGTAAACTGAGCAAATCCCTCATGCTGACTAGAGATACTCTCATCTGGGCTTAATAGTGTCTCGTGTTTGGAAATAAGAGCTCCAATGTGTGTCCATCTGTGAGCCGGTGATTTCTACTGAAGATCCTGAGGGTGGGACATCCTAACTGACCACAGAAACAGCTAACTGTGACTGAGAAGTGTTTGTCACGGCTCCCTGCATCTCCAAACAAACAGTTATTTCCTTTCATCTCACATTTCAATCAAAAATTATCTGCATTAATGTGGAGCTTTTAATAAATATCTTTGATGTCCAGAGACAAAATACTCACAGCTGGAGAGTCAGCGAGTCATCACGATGAGCCACGTTCAAAGTCGGCAGATTCAGAAAACAGAAAGATGCAAAAATAAAAAAAGAAGAAATTATTTTAAATAAAAAAAATCATGTACAAGCTACACATGAAAACACCAGTAGCAACATTTAAACCAGCTACATTTTTGGTGTCTGCAGATTTATTAGATGACATTTGTCCAGCTGGTGAAAAACAGCTTGAGGATAGAATAAATAACCACATCAATGGTTCCCATCCCTAAGTTCTCCCATCTTCCTGTGGTTAAACTGGTAATGATGCAGGCTCTGAGAGAGTTCCAGACCTCCTCAGGCTTCTGGGGGGTCGTAAAAGAGCAACACCATCTAACCTGTTAGAAGAAAGATCCTGTAACAAAGAACTGCTCCAACAGCGCTTTACAGATGAAGCTGGTGTTAAAAGCTCTGAGGTGGGAAGGATTCAGCCCTAGGATTTGGACACAGCTCAAGTGTGCAACAGTTATCATCCTCCCTGTGGGATCAAAGATTTCTGCCTCAAACACCGTTTGTAACCAACAGAGTTATCAGGTGAATATTGTCAGCTTAGGGCTGGGGGATGTGGCCTAAATTCAATATCACGATATGTTGAGGATTTCACCTTGATAACGGTAAATGGAAGATAACTACAGGTAAGTGCAGAAACAAAAGTTGTCCACTAGATGGGGCTGTCACGTGTGTTAAGTTGAGTCACATTTTTACGTGACTCAAGGTGGAACAGCTTCTTAAAGAGACATGAACGTTGCCAACCTACACACAACTTTTCATTTTTTTAATTATCACATTTATTGACATGGGAAAAATTATCATCTCAATAAGAGTCAGAAATTTCAATAACAATAAATTTTCGATTTATTGCCCAGCCCTATGTCAGCCATAACTTCATTTAATATTAAATAAAAACCACTGCATGACCCTGCCACAGCAAACGGGGAACAGACTTTAAACAGATCTACAGTACAGCAACTGCAAAAGAGAAGTCCTATGCATGTTTACGAGAACTGACATCGGTTCATCTAAATGTTTGACGAATCACATCCTCCTCTCAGTTTAACCGGTTTAACCGGACATTACACACAGGCTCTCAACAGACTACTGGGTGTTAGCACCTGGTCCACAAGGTTCCTGTTCTCCAGACAGCTGATGAACAGCAGAGGAGTCAAATATTTCCGACTGGAACCTCGAGAAAACGTTTCAAACGTTACACCACAGAAGACCCACGTATTGTTGCTTTAAAATGACATTCTGAAATGTGTTTGTGAAAAAGTTAGAAGCCATTTCTATCACTGCTGTTGTAGATTTCAGTGTTTCCCCTAGGAATTCTTCCAGCTGTGGTGGAGGTGGGGATTATGACACGTCTCACCTTTATGTTCATATTGTTTTATTTGATGCACTCCACTTTGAACTGCACCAATCCAGCAACTGCTGCATTTTAATAACTAGTATTAAAGGTGAATACACCAATATTTGCACAAGAATAATTTTTGTTTTAAACTCTCAGTGACACACTTTGCAGGGGGGATTTAGCATTTAATTTTTCTTGGCGTCTGGAAAAACATCTCCTTCTGCACCCCTTTATTTGACTTTCTGCCCCCTGTATTTTGGTCCAAGATCATTACTGAGCTGGCCCTATTAAACATGTTCTACACCCCTGCTTAGTAGACTTAATGAAGTATTTTTAAGTCAGTATAAAAATGACTGAAACACAAATTTACATATTTGGCATTATTGACCAATATCTCTGATTTAATTTATTTGTTAAGAACATCAAGATGCATTACAGTGAACATTATAATAAAGTACATGTTTCTAGTGCAGAGAGGTGACAACCCATAGAAGCACTGATTTGATCTCATTTCAGAGAAAAATAGAACAGGTCAGATGCATCTAATAAATAAAATTACTAACATGAACTCAGGAATCTGTTGCTTTGCTTCATTGTTCTGGTGCTGAAAATATCACTAATGAGGATCAAAGAAGATACACAGATGAATGCATCTCTTATTTATTATTTGGAAATTAGTGGGTGTGGTTTACATCAATACATTATTTTAAATCTGAAACTGATATGGATTGATCAGAAGTTGCTATGTGTATTGTTTATTTGAAAACTATTTACAGAGCAGCCTCAGAACTGAGATTAAACAGTTTTGATCACAGCAGTAAAGGAACTATTACAGAACAAGTTTTTCAGTAAAATCAGAACATTCATATTTAAGTGCATGAATTAATGCATCTGAACTCATGCAGCAGGAACTAGGAAATAGGAAATACTAGAACCACTTTATTTTTATTTGATTAGATTAAACAGATTTTTTCCTAACGTTGTTGGCATTTTTCCCCACACACAGTTAAACAAACCAATGTTGATTGAGGTGTGTGTGTGTGTGTGTGTGTGTGTGTGTGTGTGTGTGTGTGTGTGTGTGAGAGAGAGAGAGAGGGAGAGAGAGAGTTAAAATAATAAAAAAAAAAAAACCCGACCAGAGTGGAGGCAGTGACAGACGCATGCACAAGCCGTTTTCAGCTGTCTTGTCAAATACACCACGTACGTTACGAAAAAAGTAACAAGCGAAAAAGAGGCGAGCTGAAGAAAACCTAGGGAGTACTGAAGAAAAGTCAGCAACAGTGAAGCAAGCACAGAGAGATCCGTTACTGTGTGTGTGTGTGTGTGTGTGTGTGTGTGTGTGTGTGTGTGTGTGGGTGCGTGCGTGCGTGCGTGGATGGGCCGGACGGACTGAGCTCCCGGCTGCAGTTTTGTGTGTAGAGAGGGGCGGGCGCTCTATGTGACTGGCCAATCACAGAGCGTGAAGACAGTCAGTTACCCAAAGAGGGTTTTCCTTCAGCACGATTACAGATATTTACGAGTTTTACTCGTTTCATGCTCGTATTCGTCAAAAATTCTTTATCCGTACCGGACGCTAGTCAGAAATGAGTATCCGGCTCATCCCTAGCTGTAACCACCCTGCCCTGCCTCCTCCTCCTTGCTGCCTGCCGGCTGTGATCACAAGCAACAACAGAGTAGTTCTGCTGCTTCTTCGGGAAACGGCACAAAAAAAAAATCAATCAAACTTGGGATCTTGTAGGCGTGGCGCTGGGATTTCAACCGTAGCGGGCCGCCACGGCTACGCTTATGTAAGGGAAACACTGGATTTGCTTGACAAGCCATCCATTATACAGGGTATCTGCAGGTTTAAGGGAGCCAAATTTAAGACTTTTTAAGACCCTTTTTAAGGCCACTTTGACCAAATTTAAGCTATTTTTAAAATTAAATTTAAGCTATAATTTCCAGCTATTGCCTGGAACCGGTGCTAACCACGTCGCGAACGTGGGATTAGCCATCCAGTTACCATTAAACTTGCACTTCCCCATGGCGCAAGCTCCCACTAGCTTAACCAGCTAATTTGCTCATCTAAAAATAGCCCCCTTTCACAACCAGCTGAGAGTGTACAGTTCCACTTACGCCATTATCATACACAAAAAATGCTGAACACCAACTAGAAATTCACGAAAATTTCATAGCAATAAAATAATTTTGTTTATTGGGTTTTTGGAGATTTAAGACCTTTGGAAACTGCATTTAAGGAATATTTGTCATTTTTAAGGATTTTTAAGGCCTTAAATTTGGAAAAGCAAATTTAAGGCTTTTTAAGACTTTTTAAGGACCCGCAGATATCCTGATTATAGTCTGACCACAACCCATAGAAAGAACCCGGATGTGGGGCGGAATCTACAGTTTTCTTTTAAACCGTCTCTGAACGCAACTGGACAACGCTAGGACCAATCAGAGCAACAAACAACACAACAAACTCACCAGTCCTCCATACACCGTTGAAGAACACAAACCTCTGTCTGCTCATGTCTCAAATAAACCCAACCTGATGCCAAAGAAATTCCCAAGCAGGAGCCATCTTTGTAGTTTGTAGTTAACAGCTCTGGTGCCAAGTCCACCCAACACCTCTACACACAGAGTGCTGTGACTGTTCTCACCTAAAATTGTTCGATCCAGTGGAAGACCTTCTGAGGCTACAATGGGGCATGGCTAGACCGACCTGCAGAGCAAAATCTTTGCTACCGCTACGGTTGGTCTAGATTTCTAGGCTAGTTGTAGATAGCTTCCTGACCTGCCTCTGATCAGAAAAAAATACAGTTTATGTCCTACTAGACTAGTGGATCTTAGTTAGTGGGGCTGCACGACATCAGGGGTAGAGGGCACGCAAGAGACCATGCCCCCCCCGGAGATTTCCTGGTGGAGAATACAAAGTAGATGCCATTTTCAACAAACTCCCTCCCCTGGGACACATCTAGTAATGTAAGTATCGATTAGGGCTGCGAAGATTCGTCGACGTTGTCGACAAATATCGACAATAGAAAGAGTCGACAATGAATTTCATTGTCGACGTTGTCGCCAGACGTGTTTTTTCTGACTGAGTGAGGCATCTCACTTCATTATAATCTCTGCCGAGTGTCGCACATGCGCAATAGCTTCTCTGCTGAGCGTCAACTAACAGAAATGGCGGCGTCCAACACAGCAGCTATGCGTACCAAAACATCAAAAGTTTGGGAGCATTCTAG